ACACTATTGAAATGTTCCTCCCATGGACATTATTATACAGCTTTAATCACTCCTGCTTCTCTCACTGTAATCTCTCAATTTCACATTTTTCGGATCTTTGCCACATAAACTTACCAAAATTCTATTACTCAGTGTTTTGTAAGGGATCTAATACCAAATCTAAACTTTCTATTTGCAATTTCCAATACAGGAATGATCAGACTTCACAGTTTGTCTTTTCATGACATGCTCAAAAACTGGATTTAACCCCTTTTCAGCCCTGGACATCATACTGATATCCAATGCAAAGTAGTTTTTTAAACAGGATGTTTGTCATATGCTAAACACTAACAGCCCCACAAACATCAAATGAATCTCTTGCTCTGCTTTTTATATACATCCAGCAGCAAGCGTGGCTAAAAACAAAGCAAAAAGCAAACAAATCAAGTAACTAAATCCTAGGCTTCCCTTTTACTGAAGCACATCAGAAGACCCTGTAACTTAGATAACCTGCAAATAAAAAACAATAGCTATTATCAGTGTATTTGTTTTCTGACACTAGAAAGAAGAAGAAATACTACAGAAGACGGGAGGATGAAAACTAAGGGCTTTAAAGCAGCCCAAAATTAAGCCTCATTGACGATAAGAGCTCCCATTGTCGCTTTGTTACCTCGTGAGTTCCTTTTTATCCCTTCACAGCCTTTCTTCCCTGTGGTCTTACTATTAATTTGAGTATTGCTGATAAAATTCCCAAGTTTCAGATGGGACTAAAAACTTCCTTTTAAACAGCTCTATTGCAAAGGACAAAAACCGTGAGGCAGCTCACAGACTGGTTTTATCACAGAAGAGCTCCAGTTTTAATGATGAATGAGGTTCCATATCAAAGTCACTGAGGATCCACAATGCAAGTCCTGCTCATTTAAGTTTTTCTTGTATACTGTGCAACTAAAATGAAAGTGAAAAGCAGCATCACCTCTGTAGAGAGTCTGTATTGCTTATATGATGCCTTTTTTAGATTTAAACCCTGTCTCTGAAAGAGCAGAGCTGTAAGAAGAGTTCTTGAAACACTATCAGCAAGAGAGAATTACGCTTAAACTCCAGAGAGACTTAAAAATAACGCAAAGAAAACAAAGTATGTCCAAAACTGTTAGTCCTAATTTAAGGCAGCTGACAGCATTAAATGATAAAAGTCATCTTCTTCCCTTTAAGTAAATTTGCTTTTGTTGGAGATTAGTTTAACACATCAGTCTTGCACGATGCCATTGATGTACATCATTGATCTGTGCTATGAAATTTTCAAAATACAAAAGAATTAAAGCAAGTTCCCACATTTACTTTCCAAGACAAACAGGAATTTTACTTTCACGCATTAATTGGCAATCCAGAGAATTTTTTTGTAAGTAGAGTGAGGGCTCCCTCTTGCGACAACACACACACACACGGAAAAAAAAAAGGAAAAAAAAAAAAAAAAAGAAAAAAAAAAAAAAAAAGAAAAAAAAAAAAAAAAAGCACAAGCAGTAAGGATGCATTTGTCGGGAAATCCTGTTTTGAAAAAGAAAAAACAAACACCCACACTCTTCATGAAAATAAGAGAAGTTTTTAGGACGTTATTTGCAAAAACAGATCCTTTTGCACAGCAGTCCATTAAAGACAGATGTATAGGTGTTCTTTGACAAAGCACTTCAGTAGAAGAGATTTGGATAGAACTTTCAAATTTTTATTCAGCATCCCACACTTGAGTACGGAATTTTCCCCCTTACCAAAAAGCACACCAAGAAAAACAATCTGAAATTCCAGCAGCTCCATTGTCAGGAAGTTTCTATAATATGAAGGAAATTTTTTTTTTAAAAGCTGTAACAGTGGCATCAGAAAAACATTTTCCCTATATGGGAAAGAAAGGACAAACTGCCCTCCTCTCCAAATAAAAGATGTGATTTTATGCAGTTATAACAATACAGTGAGTGGAGCAACATGAATCATTTACACTTTTAGTTATGCAAAGAAGATTGAAATGGCTTTTAAACTTAAACTATTCCAACTTCAGAGTTAATTTAGGTTAGTTTCCACCTAACATTTTACAGCTAGTCAGTAACTGCTACCCCGATTAGGTAGAGGGGATTCAGGGACCACAAACAGACAGCATTTTTGTCCGTAAGAATTTCAGTTCAGGCTAACTTGTTCCGTTCCCTAGGTACATGGTAGTACACTAATCTAGCAAGGGACAGTCTCTACCAAGAGAACAGCCCTGATGAACCAAAGTATTTCACTCCAGTTTATTGGTTCTAAAATTTTCACTCTAAAAAGAGTTCCAATCCCAGCATTTGCATTACAGAAAGTTGCACACAGATAATAATAATAATAAAAAAAAAAAGTTAACCTCTCAATAAAGATAGGGAAGGATCTGAAACTTAATTTATGGATGGTTAAAGGCACCAGTCATCTATAATCTCCAGATTTTGGTTCAGGACCTTAATTGTAGTGTCTCACTGGGAAGACCATTGGGAAGGTAGCTACATGCTAGTTCAGCTTTTTGAGTATCTCTCTACTATACCTCAATATTGCCAAAAAACAATCAAAAAAACAAAAAACAGTCTACGCAGTCCCATACTAATAACATAAGAATGCAGAAGCAGCTTGACATCATTTCTAGCTTCCATAGAAAGACTTTTACAGAACACTGTATATTCCCCCAGTGATGTTTCCTTTGAGGGGAATTATCATATGGATACCTGTAGACTAGAAGATCATGAGAAGAGAGACTGCCTTCACATACACAGACCCCTAGAAAATACCAGCCTTGCAAGTGTACAGTCCAGGGCAATAAAATCTAAGACTTCTGAAGTGCCAGAGTGCAGCTCCTGTGACATACTGTTTCCCCAGAAGCCACCATGCGTTTTATTTACTAATATAAGAAACTGCACAGTCTCAAAAACAAACAAACAAACAAACAAAAAAAACCCAAAAACCCACCACCTGACTGATCCAGTTTAACCCACCTGACCATAAATTCTATGCTCTAGGTCACTTCTAGACCATACCTCCCACGGGCTCCCGTTAGCATTTGTTTCAAAACAGCTCTCTGCAGTTAAGAGTCAGCCACAACGTGGGGACAAGCTCTAGCAAATAATTCCCACCCCCATCACAGCACCAGGGTAAGCCAGGGTGGGAAATGGTGTATGCGCTGAGGATAACAGCTAGCAGGTGTTTAAATTCAAGTAAGTAGTATTGCTGCCAGATGTTAAACTTCAGCTTAGGTATTAACAGGTAAGCATTTTGGTGTAATTAATGGGGTGATTAAAGGCATAGAGTATGGTTGGTGTCCAGATGTGTTAGGCAAATGAATTGGAGCAGATTTACTAGTTCCTTTTTGTTTGTTTTTTTTTTTGGCTTTATTTAAACCCAGAGATCATTTTGTGGAGCAAGAGGCAGCAGTGTAAGAGAAGGAAAAAGAAAAAACAAAAAAAAAAAAAAAAAAAAAAAAAAAAGGTGTTTTAATGAACTCCAAATTATAACCCCAGACACATTTCTTTTGATCCTCAGACTGAGCTCTCAAGGTTTTAAGCACTTCCAGCATGATGTAGCCTTGCTCTCCAACAAAAGACTGATACAGTAGTTCAGGTCTGGAAAGCACCTTCTTGTCAAGTCTTTGCATTACAAAAATGCAAATCATTTGCACGCTATCAGTCTTACATGAAGGTCTTTTTAGATCTTGCCCTCCTCATTCCACACACTTGGTGGCATTGAACACATATGTGACAGTAGAAGACTTGTGAAAGAAGTGACCTATACAGCAGAAGTCCTGGGTCACATATTACATGACATTTGCTTTTTTTTTTCAGTTAGGAAAATAAACTTAAAGAAAGTCTCAGAACTTGTAACTGCTGTTACTATAAGAAAATTTATTTGAAATTTAGAAGTAGGATTGTAAAGAACTGAAAGGGAACTACCTAAAATAGGAAACAATCCAAAAGAAACACATTGAAGTGAATGCACTTAACAGACGACATCAGTTGTGTCCAGAATCATAAAATACAGCACCAAATTATGCTTTATAATCTAATAAAATACAGAACCTATCAGAGTAACACCCAAATAAATATCCTCCAATCAATCATTAATACAGACACTATTAAATATGCACACTACCAAGTTCCTTTCCAAAACAGACCACAGAATTCTTGGTTAAGAGCATATAACAAGTCGATAGGATCCAAGAATAGGAAAGGAGATTTCATGCTCAGAATCCGTTTGTTAAAAGGAAATGCAAAAAAAAAAAAAAAAGTCACTGTTCACTCCCAAACCCAGTAACTTCAAAAGCCACACTCTGCTACAGTTAGTATATGTAGGTCATTTCCACAGAGAATCTGACCCTTCTGTTTAATACACGCTCGCTTAAGCAGAGCACAAATATATTGCGCAAAGTCTCTTCTGAAAGCAGATGCCTTGCTAATTTACAAAACAAAAAGTTCACACAATCCTTAATGATAGAATATGTATTTCTAAATATAGTTCTGCACGTTTCACCATAGTCTAAGAAAATATTTTGGCATGTCTTTTCTCCTTTCATCAGGCAATCTCACAAATCAGTCATCATTTCTAGATGTCTTTTGACCCTCACTGAAAGAGTTGTATCATCTTGGCATATAGCAAAATTTTACTGCTAGACCAGCGAAGTACAGTCTACATAAAAACCACTACAATGTAGCATTAAAGTTTTTGTTTGTTTGTTTAAGAGAAGAGCAACATTTTCCAGAAAAAGAACACTGGATGTGTACCTTAATGTCTTACCTTCAATAAGCTTAGCTGTTACGGAATCTCTCAGAGCACTTAGCTGCATAAGATTTAAAGTGAAACTAATTTTTAAAGTATAATAACCATTTCAGCTGAAGTTATCAGCCTAATAATTATTTATATAGATTTTTACTGGAAAAGGCAAAACTTCACCCCAAAAGAGGAAATGAAGCCAAACGCAATTCAAGATATACAAAGAACAATTCTTTAGATTTTACCTATTTTCCTACTTCAAATCAACTTGGTCTACCTTATCACAGAAGTCAGTAAGAGCCGTGAAGTCCCACTTCTTAGCATAAGCAACGTTGTATCTCAGGATAGCCTCCTAAGGAAGGAACACAGCAAAATTAACGCTTTGAGACACAGAAGAAAATTATTTTATTTAAGAAATTTCCTTTTTGAAAGAACAGTACCATCTAGTGGCTACAGCCTACCACAAAACCTACCAAAATACATGCAATTGTACTAACATGCCACAATCCCATGTTAATAAATCCTGCATTTTAAGCTCAATGGTGAAAGTTTTTCCCCTGGTCTACATTTTTTCCTCCTAGTATCCCTCTGCAATACGTCAAAGGTTTGATCAGTTTAAGAATCTAAAGAATTGGAACCACATGATTAACCTGGCCCTTCCACAACAAGGGCTAAAGAATTCCCTGCAATTCTTTTTACAGGAAAAGATCCAGATGCTGCTCCTGCTGGACAAACAGTTTCGTACAGACTTATCAAGCCCAATTTATTTTAACAATAGCAAGGAAATTCAGTGGCAACACTTACGACAGTCTGAATTTCAGCTTTTTAACCTAGACATCACTGTGTGCAAACATTGTTTATACTGTGCTTCTAACTAGTATAAGCAGTCTGATAATGAGAAAATACATCAAAAGCAAGTCATGGAAACTAAAATACACATCTCAGGTAATACAGTAATACCAGTCTCTTTTCACTGAAAAATGTGACAATCTATCAAGAACAGTTCTGTTTTTGTGACCTTCTGGCAACTTACAAAAGACAGATAGTTGATGCAACCAACTCTACGCGACCGACTACTGAATGATTTCCGATCTGAATTATTTTTGACCGTGTTACTTATTTCACTGCTACTGTGTGGCACATAGAACTAGAAATTGGAGCAGTTAGTCCTCAAACATAACTGTCTGCCTATGAAGCTACTTCAATGAGACTAATTAGAAGATGGAGAAGGACAACAGATTAAAAAAAAAAAAAAATCAATCCTTCTAATTCTTTTAATTAACTAAGTTAAAAAAAGAGATTCCATATTCAAGTTCCACAAAACAGTGACAGTAGTTCTTTTTAAATTTAGTTTTAAAAATATAGCTTAAAATATTAAGCACAAGACTCACTAATGCTGTTCAGCATCTGTTGTATTAACAGTAGCATTGTTATCAGTTCTTCGCAAATGCAAGCCCCTTTAATATCTTTCAGAGATACCACCATATCCAGAAATGATTCCAGGGAGAAAAGTAGAAGCTCCCCATCTTCCTTGCCCAGTGAATTTGTAGAATTCATTACGAGACCTCCTGAATATGACAGACTTTAAATGATTAAACAAACTCACTGACATCACCACATGAAAAACCTGGTAGTAATTCTAATCTATATGTTTATACGCACTTGATTTCAGACTGATAAACCTACCTTCAAATCATGTGAGCAGGTAAATTTATTAAGTAAGGCAGTTTGAATTAGTTCCCATCGACTTCCAGCAGTTCTATCCCCATTCTTTAAAACAAAACCATCAAAATAGTCAGATGAAAGCATTCAAAAAAATGGAAAGACATTTAGTGCTCATTGCTTCCTTTCCACAAAACTTTAGAAGAGTCATTTTATTTGTGAGGTTATTTAAAAATAAATGATGTGATTTGAATAATTATAAAGCACTTGTTGCAACTTTTAAGCCTCTGCATTTTACTATCTCAAAGTGTGCCTTTTTAATTGAAGTCTTCTTTTTCACATATGCAGCACTATTTCTCAGGCCAAATGAATAAAGTTAATTTTGCGCATAAAACATTATCACAGTTTATAAATGCTACAACTCAGAATATAAATTTAACTAACTTTATAAAAATGTAAAATTAGGAAAATTAAGGTCATATATTATAAAAACAGACTGGTATGGCTCACTTATCCACCAACCCAATTTACATATAACACCCTATAATATTCTTTCTGAACAGGAAGTTTTGGTGCCTGATATTTACACAATAGCTACAAGACTACTGCTGGCCAGGTACAACCCATCTTCCTCAACTGGCAACAAAGAAACATCAGTGAAGGATTAATTCAATTCATCTTATGCTGCATCTGTAAAGTCGATAAATGAAAAAGACAGAGGGTAATTTACCTAGAAGTCATAAAAATCTCCATTGCCACTACCAACAGCACAGCTTTCACCACAGGGCACTTGCTCACTTTAACCAGCACCCTATGCTGTGTTTCATCAGGTGTTTAAATACATTGTGAGCAGAAACACCTGATCAAACCAAGCAAGGCCACCTCTTTAATCCTCCTGCCATCATTTTAGCCAAACAGCAAAGTCAGATTTATTTCAATCAGTGAGCAACTCCTGACAGAACATTAAATTCAGAATTTGGTTGTCATTTCACTCATATTTGTGGTTATCCCGAATTGCTTTACCAATAAAAGCCTCCCCCTGTCCTCTGTAATCAGAAAAAAAAATTAACTACTAGAAGGAAAAAACAACCCTCTATCTGAAGCATCATGCATGCCCCAGAATCCAGATTTTCAGGCCAAATACATCCATCTACCAGACTTTCCAGTGCCAAGCACATAGTTTGCCCACCGAGCATGAGTGAAAACTCAGATAGAGAAAAACAGAAAACTCATACATGACTTGTATATGTATGTAAATATATATATGGAATAAAAAGTACATATTTTATTGCACAACTCTAAGCACCTTTATCTTACCTCATCCTCTACAGGGTAGAGATTTTGTTCGGAGCAGGGCATTTTGACATGTTTGTTGTCCCACAAGTCTTTGTAGTGAGTTGGAAAAGGTTTAGGTACCTCTCCTTCCCTCAAAAGGTCTACCTAAAACCCAGGGGGAGGGAGAAGAAAAAAAGCCTCAAGCTTCATTTTGAAAATTTTATATGGAGCAAAGAAAAAGCACAGGCATAATGAAATGAAAAGCTTTCATCTACAGTCACCTCTTTCAGAAAGAGGGAAAACGAGAACAACCAAAAACCTATATGATGGATTTTTCCATCTCTAAGGCCTAAATAGTATGTGTCGCAACTTAACAAAAATAAATAAATAAATAATGTTCACTGAGGTTACCAACAGGAATTCAGACAGGAGGTAAAGATCTACATAATTGTTAAGATCCCCTCAAGTGTTAAACTTGATAAAAAAGAACACCTTAACATTTGATCTCCTAATGTGCACCAAAATAAAAGCAATACATGCAGTTATCTTGATGTTCAATTTTCAGCTACAGATATCCTTACTTATAAGCTTAAGCAGTTACTTCATCCAAATACTTTCACCAAAGTAATCAAAATATTGTTGGAAGAGAAACCATAGCCAAGCACATAAATAACATCCTTTAAACTAAACAGGATAAGTCATTGTAAGATACAGCAGTAGTTTAATCTTATGCCACAGAATATGAGGAAATATAAAATAAATAATGCAATATTCTTAAAGATCTAACCTGTTACGTGTCTTTCTGCAAGAATTAATTTCCTTAATACTGGCATTTGCTTGTTTGAACTTTTGTTTAAGCTTTTTCAAAACTTAATTTTTTTAAATGTAATGCACCGTGCTTCTGTTTGGGATTTGTCAAGGACCCTGCAAGTTTTTGGTCACACACTTTCTCTCAGGAATATTCAACTACATATTACTCAAAAGGAGAAGATCTATATGTCAGATTCGACCTAAAATCCAGTGCAAAATTGCTCCCAACTCCACTCATAGTCTTTCTTATATCTTGAACCTATTTTCCATCTTAAATCCAAAAGAAATATGCAGACATATTTCAAAACCCACAGCTTACAAATCAGACCAAGAAGCATGCATATACCCGTGCAAGGAAAAAAAAATAATCAAACAAGCCAGAGGCACTAAAAAATGTAACTACATTTTCTCTGGATCTTAACATCCTGATTCTCAGATTCAGGAGACAGCTCAACTCTCAGGAAAGTCAGTTGTCCCAGGCTGATAGCAGGGAGCTGCAAGGAAAGATTTACATAACCTGCTAATGTAGTAAATCTAATGCACGGCAGAACTGCATTAGTTTCTTATTACTGAATATCAACTCAGTAAGAAATTTTTGTTTTAAAGCAAATATGCTAACTGATCGTACTCTGATGGTTACTGTGTGATTAGCTGAGGGTCGCAGGTGAGGAAGACGGGCCGCACACAAAGGCATTCTTCTCATCTCCTCAATTGGTGTCCCAAACCACTTCTTATTAGCTGGAAGCGGAGGGGGCACATATTTAGGAATCTTCCTTCCTGGCCTCTGAGGTTTGAATTCACACTTTTCTTTCTTGCTGTTAAAATACAAATATAATTAAACATTTCATTTCCACTGAAAAACCTGGTGGCAAATGCACACAGTTTCTGCTTCGAGATTTAAGCGTATAATTCTGCCAGTTTCCACGCCAGCCTTGCTGCAGCCCCAGACCAAAGCTTATTTAGGGGAAAACACTCAACCACTAACATCAGCCCTCCCCATCTACCCCCTCCCTCTCAAATATTTTTACTTAAATTTCTTCTTCTACATGCTCACAAACACCTTGGCAGAGCTGCAACAGGTTAGTGAGGCAGGAGCCTTCTCTGAGGAGCAAGGCTGACTGATAAATAGTCCGATAAATTCCAGACTGTTTTTCCATGACCCCACTCCTTATTAGAGATCTTACCGAGGACAGAAGTGTTACTCAGTGGTTTGCAATTGTCAGGACCCTCTCTAGAGCCCTCTCTTAATGTAGTCAAAAAACGAACACACACACAGGCAAGCATACACACATTCCTTTAACTACAAACTAAAATTCTTGATCACCTTTTCTCAGTTATTTTTTTCACGTCAGACCAAATGGTTACAAAAAAAGTAAAAATGACAATTCAAAAAACACCTGCAAGTTTTAAATATGTGGAAGAGCAGATCAATCTACCTGCTTCAAAACAAGTTATGTTTGAAATTTTATCATCTGTTTCAAACAGTATGAAACACTTGCAATGGATGCAACAATTTTTCTCCTTTAAAGCTTCAAACATGGCGGGTGAGGGGGTGGGAGAGCTAAGTGTATAACCCATATGGAACTTCTTTATTTTGTTCTTCACGGTTTGCTTTGATATCAGAGCATAAAATACCAGGAAGGCTTCTTAAGCTTCGCTACGTTTCTAAAACCGCTTTTATGTTACATTACCATGTTAGGATGCAACTTTTACAAATATGTGCTAATCTCGGCATACTCATAAGCTGACACTGGAGACAGAAGTGCTACTTAGAAGTTTACGGACATGACAGAAAGGACATGACAGTCTATTTCAAACTTCACTCCTCTCTCCTCTATCCAAAATAGGCCCATGTTTCAAAAAAGCACACGCGTGCTGATTCAGCATGTCACACGACACAATCTGCATGGCCATCCATTCTTAGCATTTCATGTAGCATCACCTCGATTCCCTTATTCCTTTTTGAGAAGTTAAAACTTTCTGTAACAAGACAATTTAACTGGACCAGCTAAGAGCCCCTAAATAGCATTTGTGACTGTTTCTACAAATTTGACTGGGGCTTAGCTATGTGCTTGATGCAACATTCCGAATGTTTCTCATTCAAGAAAGAAAAGTTCTCAGAGGAAAATGCAAAACAAGATAAAAGCCTACACTTCCAGGTATGGCTTAGATCTCTTGGCTCCCCTTAGCGAAGTTACTCCACTCTGAATAAAGATGTTGTTGAACCTGTTTGCTACATCTGTGCATACGCCAATATTTTCAGGTGCAAATAATGAAAAAAGGAAGGGTAATAACATGCAAACTATGCAGTTGCATTAGCATGACACTTTACCAAGACCAGCTTAATGAAACACTGATTTTTTTTCTCCCCAAATTGAGAACTCGGCCACTCTTACCTACTGCAGACCTCGCCTAACTAAAACTCAGAAAATTAAGTTTTATTCTAATTGTTTTCTTAAGCACTATAGACAATTCCACTGTTTAGCCTGGTATTGAAGCTTAAAACCTTCACATCATCTTGGTTAAAGTCAGAACAACCTCACAGTTTATCTTACTAGCTATTCTGCAAAGCACCCCTAATATTCCCAAGTCCATTCCCAGCCTACTGATCTCAAGATTTTTCAAATTCAAGCTTTTCACCCTCTGTTACCCTCTGTATTTCCTTCACTAGTATGGTTTGTGCTGTTCCTTGTCCCAGTAAATGTATAAAAAACTCCTTTCTTGTCCCACTTTTAAGACTTGAAAGGAAACATTAGTGTGAGATGATTGCATATTACAACAGCTAACACAGCTCTCTCCCTGCTCTGCTCTCTGAAATCCAAGCTCTTCAGGGCAGAAATTATCCATTTGTCTTTATATAACATATGGACTAATCTAACATATGGACTTCTGGGTCCTGCTTAGGCCTTTTGTTTCTATGATGTGTCTCATCTCTATTCCTCCTTTCTCACAAGTTATGAATAAAGACTCCCCAAAAGAAAGCCTCACATCTCTACTTCTTTTGAAAGACAAAATTTTTGCACTGATCTCAAAGCTTCTACACTGTGCAAAGTACTCCTGTATCACCATTTGTTTTCAAGCATTAAAAATCCAATGGCCCTAAATCACTTCCTTCATAAACTAAACCAGCTTTCTACAGTGAACACAGCTCCCAATGTTAGCTAAGTCTCCAGTGAATTAAAAATGGCACTAGAAAAACATATCCTTTAAAAATGCAGTCCTATTAAAAAATAGGGGTTATTTCAAGCTTACATTGAAGTTGTTTTCATTTCTTAGCACATATTTTGCAACATTCCTTGTACAATCCAGCATTCAAAATGCTATCATTAAGTAGTAAAATACTCAGGTGAGAAAACACAGATGGAGAGACAAGCAGACAAACCTTTTCTCTTCAATTTTAGGTACCCTCATGAAATGAGAGGTGATTTTGGAGTCTTTCTTCCCACCCTGTTTTGCACCTTTGCATTCTGACAGTGGAGCAGGACAGATACCAAGTGACTTCATATGCAGCTCATCCTCTTTGGCAGAGTTATCTGTCCCCTCAAAGCCTTCACAACCCTTGGTAGAGAACTGTGACTTCCTTGCCTCCAGTTCAGTATCCCCACACTGAATTCTGGGAGACTGGTTTATGGATTTTGACATATTTATCTGCTCTCTCTCATCAAAAAAAGGACTTGTTTCTTCATCAGCCTCTGATCCATGACAGCTATTTTTAGAATTATCTACATCCATTGGTGACTCTGGTTCACTTTCTTTCTCAAAAGCAGGAGAATCTCCTGAACTACTCTGACATTTGCTCAGCTTCCCAGGACCTCCAAGATCAGATACACAAGCATCACAACCCGCATCTGAAAGGGGGCTTTCTGGAACTACATCCCCTTCCTCTTGTTCACTCACTGAGCAGGCTACATCATCAGAATTGCAACTCTTCAGCTTCTGTGAACTGCAGGAAACAACTTGTGCATCCGTCTCAGTGACTTTTGAAGAAAGTTTTGTATTTCCCGTTTTCAAAGACCGTCCTGAAGATAATTTCCTTTGAGTCCAAATGTCACTGTTTTCTTCGGAGCCTCTTTGGGCCTGTTTGCCAGTTTTATGCAGCTGATCAATGTTGGCATTTCTAAACAGCTCTCCAGATTGTGTCCCCTTCACAGGCTCCGAGTCCAAGATTGGGTCTTTACACACACCTTCAGCCTCCCAGTTATACATGCTGCCTGTCTGAGGCACATCTGGGTGCTTTGCACCAACTTCCACAGATATATTTGGAAAATTTTGCTGACAAATATTCTCTAGCTTTTTCACATCATGTTCACAGAAGTTGTCTTTTTTAATGGAAGTCATCTTGGGATTTACTTCAGTATTATTATTAATTTTCCTTTCCAAGCTGTGGGATAGAATTAAGAGAAATTAATGCCTTATCTCCAAACGAAATCTCTACGTATTTTTAAAGCAGAGAATGACTGTAAGCATAAAACAGAAACCCCATTATATCTGTTAAGTGAGCACTATCAGGACCAACAAGTTTTACTGAAGTGGGAAATATCTTTTAGTAATAACTGCCATTTAAAGCCTTCAAAGGATGATGAATCAGTTGCTTACCCTAGTAAATCTAGTCCAATGACTCATTAACCCTATGTCCAAACCTAAAATCTTTTTGTTTAAATTTTCCAAAAAACTGTATTATACTATGCCTCAGGTCACTTGAAACTCATTATTTAGGTATTTTCTCCAAATGAGGGGGGAAAAAAAAAGTTATGAAAAGTCCTCCTTAACTTTCTTTTTAAACAGTTAAAGTCAGCAAGACTAAGGAATTCTATTGCTTTGTAACTATTCTCTCCCATTTACTGTATAAAAGAGCAAGATGCAAAATAATGTAACAGTCTCAAAAATGTCAAACTATTTCCTTACTCTTGTAAGCAGAATATGGCTCTTTATACCTAGAAGAATCACCATGCATAGGTATAACATTAGAGTATGTTTAGAACTGATTACAAAAATTAAAATTATTAAATTTTAATCATTAAATCATTATTAAATGAACATTATTAATAAACTAATTTTTTGTACTAATCTAGTAGAACTATACTATTAACTTTCATAAGTTCACCTGTCTTTTGCTAATCATTTCAGCACTGCCATAGATTATACTATCTAATTATTAACAAATATTAATGAAAAATAAAACACCATTTTTACAACTGGAATTATAGAGATTTACCACTTGATATTCCTCTGAAGTACATATCATTAAAATGAAACCCATGAGAATATAGTTGTCTTGCCAACACTGCTCCTGACAAACTACATAAGTACCATAAAAATTTAGTACCATAAAAATTTACATGGTGCTCTTCAGTAGCAAAACTTCCATGACACCTTTGACAAAATAGCTCAAATTAACAGTTGAAGGTCTTGTTAATTTTAGCCCAAATTAATTAGGGTTGCATGAACTTATACTATTATAGCCTATCGGGATGAAGCAAAACTGAATTTTGTCTTTAAATTAACAATAAATCTGTGAGTACCAGACCATCAGTCAAAATCTGAAAATTATTATTCTCTGTGTTAAGACAAAATAAAGGCAGGATTCTTAACTAAGGACATGACCACCGATCTCATCTAACGGTTGTCTACTCCTGAGACCAGCAGGGGTAAGTGTCATGCTGATCCAATGAGCTAAGTCAGCATTTTTTATTTATTTTTTTTAAATTTGGCTAGCTAGCTTTCAGTAGTGAGACTCTGTCAACTAATTCTCCATAGGAGACATGCCTAGGCAAAGAAAGCAACAGAACCAGAGCTGCTTTTTTTCAGTGGCTAGTCGTGCTTGCCAAAGGCATCTCAAAGAACACAGCTTTTAGATAGGTATATGTACATTTGCACATTTTACCTTTCGGACTCCTTTCTCTGGGGTCCTTTGTTCTCCAACCAAGAGGTAATCGTCCGTTGTTTACAAACTGCAAAAATACAATTTGCTACATTATTACATGAAACATGACGAGACTGCAACATGATTGCCTATGAGTAAAATAGCTTGCGTGGAATGAAAGTGAGAGTACCTTCTTTATCATCACCTCTGCTACAGAAAACATCCAGATTAACATTATTAACATTACATGTGGTGCAATGTTTAGTTTTAATATAGTCAGCCCTTATTACCTTTTATTCTCACCAACACAGAGAGTCTGAAAGATTTGTGCTGAACTTTGGAATAACGAGGAGATGCAACATAATCAAATTAAAACCAACCCAAAGCCTCCTGTTTGCAATTGAGTTTTAGAAGACCCATAAGACAATCTTACTTGCACGTAGTATACCGTGAGCATGAATTTTAATATAAAGACTGAGTGTTAAGAGTGACCAACACTGAAAAAAAGACTCTCTCCTCCGCCAAAAACAAATTTGTAAAGGCTATCAATGCTGACTCCCCTAAACAGCAAGAAAATGTGTTGCATCTTTTTCAAATTCACTATCAACCATAAAGGCCCAGTGAATGTATCAGTCTTTTTATCTCTGCCACGTTGCTGCAGTTCAGAAAAGCTTTGATTAGAACAGCACCCCAGGAACTAATTATCTAGAGACTCGGGAAACAAAGAGTTGAGGCAGTCACTTCACATCTGGAAAGTCTATAGTAGAGTGGCATTAGTGCAAGAAGACTTTCAGTTTTTTTTACTCTTGTTTTTAAACTTAATGCTAAAAAAAATGACAGCCAGCTTCAGTTCCCTTTCTTTCCATTTGCCAAGAGATTTTCTCTACCTGCCCCTGCTGACTGTACAAGGTGTCTACTCACTGCTGTCAACTGGGTAATTAAAATATACAATTTTCCCATTGCAACAGCAGTTTTGCACAACATGTAGATTAGTACAACAGATCTAGCTACTCTGATTTACAGTCACTACTGACTCAGCATTTTATTGCAAAAGGGGTTCTCTAACTTTTTCGTGCCATAGGTAACCTAGAAGGTATCACAGTAAAGTTCAAGGCCATGAACGCCACTTTCTCCACAGCTAGTTATGAATATCCTTTCCAGAAGTACAGAATTTTTTGCACGTAAAGGTAATGTCTAGAAAATATTTAAAGCATCTCACGCTTTTCTAAAACCTAGCACAAAAGTAAAGGGGCAAAGTTGCTACCATTTGACTAGGTCATGGGGTCAAGCCACATACACACGAGGCACAGGCAGAGCCATGCCACACTTTCAAAAATAACTGCCACCCCACCCCCACAGAAACAAGAGCTTTTGGCAGAGTTATGAATTGAAAAATAAAAAATATATATTTCTAATGATCCATTATAACTTAAAAATATTATCCCTGCTTATCAAATTTTCAGCATCCTATATTTCATGTCTCAAGATCACCAACAGGAAAGGGGTGCAAAGCAGCCAGACATGCTGAAACGTAGGGCAAATAAATCTCTATCAAGCCAAATGACTACTGTCTGAGGAACAAACTAGACAAAAAAGGAGAAATTGTGGCAGCAGCAGCTTCAGAACAGAACAAAATCACTTTGGTTTGGGAATTTTGCATGTGACTTGCCCTTTAAGCCTGAAAAGTAATATAACACATAGTACTTGTCTTTAATGAGACTAGCACCTGTTTTTACTGCTCATAAGGTGGTAAAAGCATAAAAGTTAAGGACAAGCCAACACACGCTTGCAATCAGTGTAAACAATAAGGTTAAATTTTGTTATTTTTAAAGGATAACTAAGTTTCTCATCAACATTTCCAACTTAAAAAAGAAACAAAAAAAAACATGCCATTCCTCAGACTCTATCACAGAAAAGCAACTGTATTTTCAGGTTTTATCACTTTGCAAACAACAACATCAGCGTGCGTACAACACCACACTACTACCTGCTCCAAGTAGCCTCTTAGTTACTTGCTCCTGTTGCTACCGATGTCCCAGGCACCCACTCGGGCACGCGGCAAACGCGACGGACGGCTCTCCCTTCCCTTCCCTTCCCTTCCTCCCCGCTGTCCCGAAGGGCGCACTTCGCCGCGCACTAAGGCCTGGGCACCCCA